TCTGGGAAATTCCATCAGTTTGCAGATGAGGAAAATAAGATACAGAAATTAAGGGATGGCCTTGCTTAACATCACACTCTGGCCACTGCAAAGTCTGACCCAGACATCCAAAGAAAGACCAAATACTGGGCTCCACATACTGACTGAGGCATGATAGTGGCTACTGACTTCGCAGCATGTGAGGTAGTAGGAAGAAATGACAACTCTTCAAGGGGTCAGCTCTGCAAAGTCACCCCAAGTCCCCCAATTTCTTAAGTATCTACTCCAGGCCAGGCTCTGAGCCATATCAGATATGGTACAGCTCTTGCTGGAAACCAGGAGGTCAGGCATATTGTTGTTTCCAAAAAAAAAAAAAAAAATACTTTACCCATTGAAAGCCTTCTATGTGAGTCAGGGTCCAGTCAGGAAGCAAAAATCAAATGAGTAATTTGACTAGGGAAATTTTAATATAAAGCTTTATTGGGCTGGAGTTGTGGCTCAGAGCACTTGCCTAGCATTTTTTTTTTTAAGAGAGAGCGAGAGCGAGAGAGAGAGAGAGAGAGGGGGACAGAGAGAGAGAGAGAATTTTAATATTTATTTATTTTTTCTTAGTTCTCGGCAGACACAACATCTTTGTTGGTATGTGGTGCTGAGGACGGAACCCGGGACGCACGCATGCCAGGCGAGCGCGCTACTGCTTGAGCCACATCCCCAGCCCTTGCCTAGCATTTGTAAGGCACTGGGTTCAATTCTCAGCACCACATATAAATTAATAAAATAAAGGTTATGGGCTGGGGATGTGGCTCAAGCGGTATCGCGCTCGCCTGGCATGCGTGCGGCCCGGGTTCGATCCTCAGCACCACATACAAACAAAGATGTTGTTTCTGCCGAGAACTAAAAAATAAATATTAAAAAAATTCTCTCTCTCTCTCTCTCTCTCTCTCTCTCCTCTCTCACTCTCTCTTAAAAAAAATCTTTATAAAAAAATAAAAAATAAAATAAAATAAAGGTTCATTAACATAAAATAAGAATTCTTAAAATATATGTATTACCTAGTAAAGGCTGGTTAGCTATCAGAACTCCTGCTTGTGACCGTTGACTGGTGTCCCCTGGAAATTTCCTCCACCTCTGATTCCTTAACATGACCTCCATTGCTTTCCTTCCTCCCTCTCTGATCATTCTCTCAAGAATTTCTTTTCTTCATATATCCTTTACGTTCTTTGGGCAATTTCTTCTGCTTCCTTAATTTAAAAGTGAATAGCAGCTGAGCTCCTATTACAGCCTCAGTAGATTAGGGAGGTACTTAGCAACTCAGCTAGACCCTTTCTCTAAATAAAATATAAAAAAGAGCTGGGGATGTGGCTCAGTGGTTAAGCACCCTGGGTTCAATCCCTGGTAACCACCCCCCCCCCAAAAAAAAAAAAAAAAAAACAGTGAATATGGATGAGTAATTCTGAAGGCAGGCCTCCCAGCTGAGCTCCAGACCAGGGCCTCCCACCAGGTGCCCTCTTACATCCTCTCCTAATCCGCGAGGGCCATTAGCTGAGTCTCCTCTCCCTCCTCAGCCCATGCGCACTCCGAGGAGCACCTGACCCACTGGGCTCTGAAATTCCTCTGCACCCTCCCTCAGGCCCTCTGCTCAAGCCCTGGGTCTTCCCATGTCCACCTGTCTTGACCTCCTCCAGTCCTGCCACAGGGCTAGGGCGGCAGTCTAAAATCCAGGTCAGAGCACAGTTACTCCCCGCCCTCCTTAAAACCCTTTAGTGATTTTCTGTCATCAGAGAATAAGATCCAAACTCTTGAGGATGACACACAGGCCTCCGGGTCCTGCCCCAGCAGCCCTCCYGGCCACCTCCACTCTGCGGGCAGAATTGGAAAAAAGCAAGGGGTTGGGGGCAGGTGGATGTCAGGAGGCTCAGTGCTCACCTCAGCCTCCCAGTTTTTGTTGTTGTTGTTGTTGTTTGGTTAATAATATATTGTAGTTGGGAACAATACCTTTATTTATTTATTTTTATGAGGTGCTGAGGATCGAACCCAGGGCCTCACATGTGCTAGGCGAGCACTTTACCACTGAGCCCCAGCCCCAGCCCTCAGCCTCCCAGTTCTGCTGGCCAGGACAGATGGCCTGCTTACCTTTCAGGACTGGCTCAAGTTTCTCCACCTCTTTATGTAGTCATTTATTTAATGACTACAATTAATCTCACACACATATGCATACACACACATGCACACATGATTTCTGAGCTCATAAAGAATGATTTCAAAATATTTAACCACTGAGAACTCATAGGCACTCACACATCAGGATAAACGCTGGCCCTGAGACTGGAGTCAAGTCTTTTAAGGACCCCCTGCTGGGCCAGGGTTATTGACCTATTGGCTGCTAGACTGTGAGGAGGTCTAGCAGTTCAGAGGAGGCACTCAGGGTGCTCAGGGCAGCAGCTACACACCAAGCAGCATAGGAGTATCTCAATCTTTTAACTTCTGGTATGACTGCACATGCATGAGCCCTGGGACTCTTATTATGCGCCAGATGCTGGGCTAAGCTAACCCACTTCACCCACCACCTCCTTCAACTAGCACAACCACATTGTGAGGTATAATCATCATCTCTACCACTACCATCTTTCTTACCGTCATCTCCACGACCACCATCTCCATCACTGCCACCTTCTCCAGCATGCCAACAGACTTGCTGTGGGGTTTCACTGAAGATCCTATTGCTTGATCGGAAGTTAAATCTACACCTTCAATAACTTTTGCCTGTTCTTCAAAGGGCAGCTACCTAGCACTTCCCCATCACCCACAGCAGCATTCCAAGGCATTTCCCACAGTCCTTTGCAAACCTGTTCTAACCACCTCTAGCCCAACCCTGGCACTGCTACTGCCACCACCCCCATTATTCCTGGCTGTAGCCCTGAATTCCTTATGACACAATTTTCACAACTGCCACCACTGGGCTGTAAGACCTTTGAGGACAGGATCTTATTCCATGCATATTTAATTCACTGCTCTGCAGAATGTCTGGCTATGGGCCCAATGTTGGTCAAGTGCATGAATAAATAAGCAGACACATAAGACTGAAATGTAACTGTTATTTGAGGTTAGATCTATCTTTAACTGCTCCACCAACAAGAATATGGAAATACATAATACATTCCTTTTATTTTTAGCATTTGAATTTGACTATTATTATGAATGTATTAAATAAGAATCTATTAAGCCACTTTGTAACCTGAGAACAGGGGCTGCATTCAAATCTCACCCCTGCCACTTTTTTGGTGTGTGTGGTATGCTGGGGATTGAACCCAGGGCCTTGTGCATGCAAGGAAGGAACTCTACCAACTGAGCTATATCCCCAGCCCACCCCTGCCATTTTCTAATGACCTTGCTCAATGCTTCTCAGCCTGCTGCCCTTGTGGAATGGGGAGTGATCCTGCCTACCTCGGGGATTCTAAGGAGGAAGGAGGAGACTACATAGTGCTCAGCACCTCCCCTGCGCAAAGGGACTCGATAAACACTATATTATCTTTGGTGGTGGGTGGATAGTAGCCCAGGGATAAAAGGAAATGTGCCCTGATGTACTCTGGGCCAAACGTTGGTAGGGTGGTCTCAGACAGTGGTTCTCCACCTTGGATGCAAGTTGGAATGCTGGCACCATTCAACCCAAATCCCTGGGAACCCAGGCTTTTTTTCCCCCACACTCTCCTGAAGATTCTAATAGGTAGTCAGGTTGAGATCCTCTGCCGAAACTAGCAAAGTAGGAGACAAGCAACAACAAACCAGCCAAGAGTCCAGGAAAGGATGTCCCAGATCCAGTGAGGCTGTCTTGATTTCAGTTGAAAATAAAAAATTCTCAAAATTGAAAACTTACGGGCTGGGGATGTGGCTCAAGCGGTAGCGCGCTCGCCTGGCATGCGTGCGGCCCAGGTTCCATCCT